AATTTATTTATTTATTTTTATTTATTTTATTTTTTTTTGGTTTTTTGAGACAGGGTCTCACTGTGCAGTTGAGACTGGCCTGGAACTCACTATGTAGCCCAGGCTGGTCTCGAACTCAACAGTGATCCTCCTGCCTCAGCCTCCCGAGTGCTGGAAGTACAGGTGTGCGCCACCACGCCCGGCTAAATTTATTATTTTTTTGTAAAGCATTAATGAAATACAGTGTAGTAATACATTCTATTAGCATGATTCAAGAATGGAATGGTTCTATTGACCAGTTGTCATGTATGCCTAATTAGGATTGTTTCTTTTTTCTTTCTTTTTTTTTTGGTACTGGACATGGAAATCAGGACCTTGCACTTGTGAGGCAGACACGCTGCCACTGAGCTAAATCCCTGCCTCAGGATTGTTTCATTTTTAAAATAATTGGGTTCTATATTCTAAGTGCTCCTAATGGTATACTGTGGTGAATGTGGAGTTAAGAATCTCGCTGCGGCCCGGGGATGTAGCTCAGTGGTGCCTGCCTCGCAAGTGTAAGGACCCGAGTTCAACCGATGGTACCAAAAAAAAAAAAACAAAACAAAAAAGAATCTTGTTGGTTATAAAGTATAGAACTAGAAAATGAATAGCAGTGAACTTACGAATAATGTTGTTTCATCATTTCCATATTTTTGACATGTTTAACCTGGAATCAGGTTATAAATTTCTAACCATTAGGGGTTGATACTTAACCTTGATACTTCAATGTGAATAGATTCCCTCAGAGTATAAAGAAAAATTTTAACTAAAATTATAAATAGCATTTACTTTATTTCATTTTGGCCAAACACCTCAGTTTCTTTTTTGGTTTTTTTGCGGGGGTACCGGGGATCTAACTCCAGACCTTGTGCTTGCGAGACAGGCAGTGGCACCATTGAGTTAAATCTCTGGCCCATCAATTTCTTGCTTGTAGAATTAAAATCTTAATGTATTAAGTGTAACTACTTGGATGCTTTTCCTGTTTTGTAACAACAGTTAGGGTTTTGGTTTTTATTTTTAGATTTTATGTATCCACCTTAAAAGATTCAGACATGAACTGATGTTTTCCACCAAAATCAGCACACATGTTTCATTTCCACTGGAAGGCCTGGATCTTCAGCCATTTCTTGCTAAGGATAGTCCAGCTCAGATTGTGACATATGACCTTCTGTCAGTCATTTGTCATCATGGGACTGCAAGTAGTAAGTATACAGGTTTGACAATTGTTCTTAGATTTAAAAAAAATTAATTGCATAAGTAAGACTTCATTGACCAAAAGAAGATATTAAAAATAGATTTTACTGCTGGTTATTAAAAACATACCAGATGTCCAACACAAAGAAATGATACATGTTTAGTAAAATAGAAATGCTAATTATCCTAATGTGACTATGTGTGTGTGTGTCCAATTATTATGTCCTGTCCCATAAATATGTACAATTGTCAGTAAAAAAAAAATCAGACCATTTCAGGAAATTGGATTTTTCTTTTTTTACTATTATGTTTGAAATATTGGAAATTATATAAGGTTAAATAGCAAGAACTTTAACATAATCTTAGAAAACTCCTCGGGTTTTTAAGGTTAAATTTTCTGTCCTTTATAAAATCACAACTTGATATTTCATCTGCTGTGCTAGACACTGGGGATACAAAAAGTTTATACTCCATTCTTTGTTAATTTATGTCACTATAATGATTTCTTTTCCCTTAAACATAGGTGGACACTATATAGCCTATTGCCGAAACAATTTAAATAATCTGTGGTATGAATTTGACGATCAGAGTGTCACTGAAGTTTCAGAATCTACAGTACAGAATGCAGAAGCTTATGTTCTTTTCTATAGGTAATCGAAGTCACTGTCTCATGGATCAGCCAGCTTTACACGCTGTGAAGGAACATCTCACTCTTTGAAGTTATGGATTACTGAGTGAAGAGGAAGAATAGTTTATTCTCATTAGAGTAAAATATAGTTAAAAAGGTTGTCTAGAGAATGACATTTGTCTGTCTAGAGAATGAAAATATTAAATCATTTAAGGGAAAGACAAAGGGATGTATTTTGTTATAGAAAGATTGGTTTTAATTTTAAGAAGCAGGCAGTAACAACTATCAAATTTCTTCCGAAAATAGCTAATAAAGGAAATATTACTATAAAAATCTTTCATATTTTTCAGTATCTTATGAAAGAAGACACTAGCTACTGATACAGAAACACAGATTAACTATTTAGCTTGACCTTAAAAACATTTGAATACTTACAATGTGCTAGTAGTTATGTGGACACCACTAGTTAGGACATTGTCGCCCATGGAGATGCGTAACACGTTTGAGAGGTGATACAATGTATATCTCTCTTCAAATTATGAAGGCCTGATAAGACCCACAGTAGCAGTATGTATGCTAAGTCTAATAAGGAGGAAAAATCAGCCTACTAGTCTAATGTAAAAAGAGAAAGTTACTGAATTTGATGAATCATTGTCTTTAAATAGGAAGAGCAGTGAAGAGGCACAGAAAGAGAGACGAAGGATATCAAATTTATTGAACATAATGGAACCAAGCCTCCTTCAGTTTTATATTTCTCGACAGTGGCTGAATAAATTTAAGACCTTTGCTGAACCTGGCCCTATTTCAAATAATGACTTTCTCTGCATTCATGGAGGTAAGAAATTCTGTCACTCAAAGCAACAAAAGAGATTTGCTCTTACTTTGTAAATTAGGAAAGATCTGAGAATTTTCCTCTTCCATTTCTTTCCCATTGCCCCATCTGCTGTCCAGTTGAATGAATTTAATTCTGTATGGTTTTGGAAATTAGCTATGTCTTTCTAATCATGGGCAGTGTGTAGCCTCTCTATTAAATGTGTATTTATTGAGTACCTGTTTGAAACCCTGTGTTAGAGCATAAGGATACCAGAGACCTTATTTCTGTTGGCAAAGCTCTAATTTCATAGCAAATTCAGATGCATAAACAACTAATTACAGTATAGTAAATCTTCTGTTCACATAATTCTTATCTGAGTCATTCCTTTGTAAGTGATTTCATTTACAAAGTAAGTGCTATTTATATCTAGTTCTTACTGCTTTTCTCTAAATAATTGGCTCTTTTTCTAAGTGTGGAAATATATTTGGGATTTAACAAGAAATCTTTTAGACAGTCACAGTGGTGCATGGCGGCAGTCTTAGCACTCTGGGAGGCTGAGCCAGAAGGAGTTTAAGTTTGAGCCTAGTCTGAGACATTTAGCAACTTAGTGAAATCTTATTTCAAAAATAAATAAAGAACAGCTGGGGATGCAGCTTTGTATGAAGGCCTTCTGTTTAATCTCCAGTACTGGAAGAAAAGGACTTCATTTTGTTGAATATCACTTACGCCTTTGTGATGGACTGTGTTAATGTTTACTCCTATGATAATCAAGACCTTTGTGTAATGCTTTGATGAAACTTTATGGTTGAAGTCTCAATATTACCATCAACTACATGTGTAGTAAAACCATAAGGAATGGGATACCCTATATTAAAAATATTTTTCTGGGCCTTAGGATATAAACTGCATGCTTAGTTTGTGCAAGGCCCTGGGTTCAACACCCTCCTCCCCTACCTATATGTGAATTTCAAGGTATGTACAGTATTCATCTTTAGGAAACATAATTGAAAGGAATTAAAAAATAAGGCAGACCTATCTAAATTTTTTTCAGGTGTTCCTCCACGGAAAGCTAGTTATATTGAGGACTTGGTTTTGATGTTGCCTCAGAACATTTGGGATAACCTATATAGCAGGTTTGTTTAAATGAAATAATACAGTATTGTGAAAAATCAGTTAAATGTGCTTGAAGGGGGATTGTATTATTTCACAGATACTCCTTGTGCTATGTGTGGCTTATGTAGAACGTCCATTTCTTGTTTATTTATTCCTTTAAACTGTGAGTAGGAACATGTAGCTAGTGTGTCCCTAGTCTAGATAATTAATTCTAACTTCCTTGTCCTGATTATTTGTCCATGAAGATAAGCTATTTAAAGTACTTTATTTAAAAGATGAAGCACTTGGGGTATGGTGGTGCATGCCTGTAATCCCAGCACCCAGGAGGCTGAGGCAGGAGATTCACCATGCATTTGAAGCCAGTGTGGACTACGTAATGAGTTTAAGTCCAGCCTGAACTATATAGCAAGACCCTGTCTCAAAAAAGAACACAAAACAAGAAAAGATGTTACATGTACCCAACACTAAAATTTTACTTGTAACATTGAATATTTTTACTCTTAAATTTTATAATGAAATATTTTGCTCCAGAATTTCCATACTGATTGTTTGCTTTAATTATTAAAATTTATACCTGAATGCTTCTTACTTAAAAGGCAAGTTTCCATCTGATTAAAACTTAACTATGGCTTTATGTGTATAACTGAGATTTACTGTGTGCAAATTTTTAAAAAATCATTTATTTTATTGTTGCCTTTGACATAGCAGAAGTAGGTATAAGAGAAAGTGGAAATGTAGACATAGCAGGTGAAACAATACATTGATAAAGTTGTTTAGTAAACAAAATCAAGTTCTTATATAAATTTTTAGCTTTTACATTACTTTGAGAATCTTCCTATGAGGATTTATTCTTACTGGGAGTTCAGCCACTGACCAAAAAACTAGAAACTGTAGTATTTTGTAGAGCAGCAGCTTCCTTTGAGATTTTAATTCTGAGGTTTTCATGTTCTAGATACGGAGGAGGACCTGCTGTCAACCATCTGTACATTTGTCATACTTGCCAAATTGAGGCAGAGAAAATTGAAAAAAGAAGAAAAACTGAGTTGGAAATTTTTATTCGGGTAAAGAAAATAAAGCCTTTAAAATTATAAATGATGTAGGATGAAGATGACTTGACAATTAGCAAACTGTATTGTATTAATTAAATAATTGAGTGAAAGCATTTTAATTTAGGTTTGAGGTGTTCTGAGTGCCTAACATTACTTATTAGCCCTTTCGAGTGACTGACCTAACTATAATTCTAGTGGGTTAAAATCTCCCTTTGTGGATATTTATTTTATTTTATTTTTGGTACTGGGAATCGAACTCAGGTACTTGTGCTTGCGAGACAGGCACTGGAACCAATGAGCTAAATCCCCGGCCCTGTGGGTATTTATTTTTATAAATTAGAAATAAATTTTGTTTTATGTATTGCCACTGGCAAGAAATTTCCTTATTAAAATGGGCAATTATAGGTGTCTTTGTTAATGTTGCCTACCCAGATTGCACTCTTTCTGTCCTTGTGTGAAATACATTGTCTTTTGGGGACTCTGCTTATCAGTACAGCCTGTTTCTTCAGGGGGAGTATGTTATAAGGCATTCCTTGATTGTAAACTTCAGAAGGTCTGCTCACAGAGTGAAAGAGCTTATAAAGCAGCTTTTATAGGCAAGGCCCAGAATTGTTCCAGTTACCTGGATAGCAAGAAGTCTCTTTGAGGCATTGCTGTACATGACATAGCTCCAGCTGCTTAAGACAGCTTCACTCACGTTCACTCCCCGAGAGGTGTGCTATTGACAGTTCTAGTGGGGCAGCATCTTGGGGAAGAGTAACGTTGCAGGAGAAAATGAATATTCTGTAGTAAAGGCAGGGAGAAGACCTTGAACAGAACAAATTAAGATGCCCAGATGTATTCCAGGTGGATTATTCAGAGGGTGCCCAGAAGGCACAAGATGTAGCCCTTAGTGTCAACATTGCTAAGTGAAATCAAATTCTTGGGCGGATGCTTGGAGGTAATGGCAAGACCCAATTGGAGCTCACTACAGATGCCCCAAACCTGCTCGCTGCTGCCACCAGAAGAAGAGACTTTTTCTTGTGCCTTCCATAAATCACAGATGGCTTTGGCAGTGGCCAGTTGGAGCACTATTGGCAAGGGGTCCTGGAAAATGTGGGCTTCTCCTTAGTGAAAGGAGTAGAATCCTGAATGGAAATGCTGCTGGTTAGCTGATAGTGCTGTACAGTTTGCTTCTATCTCCCACACGCACTCATCTGGACAACAGTAGCACCAGTATCTTGCTTCTGCCTCTCATATTACTCTCTCATGTGCCAGCACATGTTGCATTTACCTTTTCCCTGAATTTGGGAGGACCCCAAATCCTATCAGTTGCTATTTCTCAATGGTAGTCATTTATCCTTTAGTTCATTGTAGTCACAGTGTTTCTTTTATAATCTATAATCTGGATAATACTAAGGTTCGGGGTGCAGCTCAGTGATAAGAGTATTTGCCTGCCCTGCACGAGGCCCTGAGTTCAATCCTTAGCATCACAAAACCCCAAAGAAACAAAACCTATGTTAACCACCATCATTATACCTAATAATAGTAATGGACTGAAAGAGAAAAGAAATTGGCAATTGTTTACACGGAGCAGGCAAGAAATACGTGTCTACAACCGGTCACTCCCCATTCCATATTTCCTGTGTTCTCAGCCAGCACCTCAGCTGGTTGTGGCTGTGGCTCTCTGGTAAAGTAATTCAGTCTTTCTTTCTGAATGTGGTCTTTATCTACTAGATTTCTATAGTCTGTTCATTTTTAACCTCTGGGTAAATAGTGCCTTAGTGGGTAGACTGTTGGTTCCCCAAAAGAAATTTCCATGCTCTAGGTTCTGTGAATTGTTCTTATTGATGGGTGTGACCTTATTGGAAAAAGGGCCTTTGTATATGTAAACATTTTAAGGTGAAATCATTCTGAATTATATGTGTGAGCCCAGAATCCAGTAAGTGATCGCTTAAAGAGACCGAAAGGGGAAAGATAAAACAGAGAAGGAGGTGAGAGGCATGAGAAGACAGAAGCTTGGACCAGAGTGGTACAGCCACGAGGCAGAAATGTGAAGAGTGAGGGACGGAATCTCCTCTAGAGTCTCTGCCAGGAACACTGTCCTGCTAACACTTTGGTTTTTGATTTCTGGTTTCCAGAACTATGAGAATAAATAGCCCTTTTCAGCCACCCAAGTTTGTGGTAATTTGTTATGGCAGCCTTCTGAAACTAACACAGTGGGTATAACCTCTGTTTTCCAAACGCAGTGCTCTTTGCTTTTGCTGAGTAGCAGCCATCTGGTTCATCCTTTATACTGGGACACGTTCTAGCCAATAGTATAACCCACCCCCACTTTGCCTCTTGGCTCAGTAGCATGAGAAACTCCAAGCAGCCAAGGGGCTGTCTCAGTTTCCAGTCTAGGAAGGCTATTGTTATATCACATTGGGAACCAAATCCTCCAACTAGAACAGGCCAGAGTTTTGGATATGGGAAGCAAAGCTTCTGGTCAACAGGTAGTGGTAGATAAGCTCTCTCACTTCCTTTACCTGGCTCCTAGCCTCAGGTATTCTGGCTATGGCAAGGACCTCATATATAGGTTTCTAATTTACACCAAGTTCCACATCATGTAGGACAGTACCAAATCCACAAGGTGTTGCCACCAGGTACAGCATTGAGTCTTTGATAGGCCAGCAGTTTTGGGGTGGTAGCATGTGATAAAATCATTGAATCTTATTGATTTGAACCTATTTTTTGTTTTGTATAAAATAAATGTTACATTCAGAAGCAGTATGGGTAAGGTATCACGGCAATGACAATTTCAGTAAGCCTAAGAATTAGTGTAGGTTACAAAGGTAGACCTAAATCCTGAGTTGCATGTCATCAAAGGACTTACACCTACCCAAGCTACATAAACTTTATATGGTGAGTAAGTTGGCAGATATTTCAATTAAAAAATAAGTGAAAGATTTGAATAGACATTACTCCTGAGAAGTTATGGCTCATAAACACCTGGAAAAAGTCTCAGGAGGGGTTTCTTACATGAATATTAATGGTGATATTGCAAAACGCTATATACTAATTTATAAACCACTTGGCAATTTAGAGATTCAACATTTAGCATATGACCCAGAATTTCCATTCCTAGGTATTTTTTCAGAAAAATGACAACTTACGTTCATGTAACATCTGTAAACGAAAGTATATAGTGGTAGTACACTAAAATTGCCTCAAATTAGAAACAATGACAATGTTTACCAGTGGGCTGGGGATTTAGCTCAGTGACACTGTGCTTCCCTTGAAAGCGCAAGGTCCTGAGTTTGATCCCCAGTGCCACAAAACAACAACAAAAAAGTTTACCAGCTAGCCGAGGTATAAACAAAATGTGTTGTATTTGTATGGCAGTCAAAATATCACAGATTACTAAAGCATAAAACAACATGACTGAATCTCAAACATGCCAAATAAAAGGCAGACACAAAAAAGACTATAATGTAGTCTCACTTATATGAAAAAAATTATTTTGGGGGTTCTGGGAATTTAACTTAGGTCCTTGTACATGCTAATCAGGTTCTTTGACCCTGAGCTATACCCTAAGGACCACTTACAAAATTCCTAAAAAGGTAAAACCAGTAAGGCAAAGTTGATCACTGATTGTAAACTGATACAGAATAGCTTTTCTGGGTATTTGAAATTATTTAAATTGGACTGTGGTTGCACAACTAAATTTGCAATAAACCACTGAACTTTCTAGTAGTGGGATTATACTTAAATAGAGCTGCTCTGTTTTGTTTTTTTTTTCCTTTTAATAGTTTTGGTGGTGCTGGGGATGGAACCCAGGGATTAGCACATGCTAGGCAAGTAATCTACCACTGAGCTGTATCCTTAGCCCTAAAACTTTTTAAAAAATGCAATTCTAATTCTAGCAATCAGGAAGCTGAGGCAGGAGGATCGCTGTGAGTTTGAGGCCAGCCTGGGCTACATAGTAAGTTCAAGGCTATCCTGGACTATATAGTGAGATCCTGTCTCAAA